CCTGTGACTGTGTGACTTGTCTAGCCCTGTGACTGTGTGACTTGCCTAGCCCTGTGACTGTGTGACTTGTCTAGCCCTGTGACTGTGTGACTTGTCTAGCCCTGTGACTGTGTGACTTGTCTAGCCCTGTGACTGTGTGACTTGTCTAGCCCTGTGACTGTGTGACTTGTCTAGCCCTGTGACTGTGTGACTTGTCTAGCCCTGTGACTGTGTGACTTGTCTAGCCCTGTGACTGTGTGACTTGCCTAGCCCTGTGACTGTGTGACTTGTCTAGCCCTGTGACTGTGTGACTTGTCTAGCCCTGTGACTGTGTGACTTGCCTAGCCCTGTGACTGTGTGACTTGTCTAGCCCTGTGACTGTGTGACTTGCCTAGCCCTGTGACCGTGTGACTTGTCTAGCCTTGTGACTGTGTGACTTGTCTAGCCCTGTGACTGTGTGACTTGCCTAGCCCTTTGACTGTGTGACTTGTCTAGCCCTGTGACTGTGTGACTTGCCTAGCCCTGTGACTGTGTGACTTGTCTAGCCCTGTGACTGTGTGACTTGCCTAGCCCTGTGACTGTGTGACTTGTCTAGCCCTGTGACTGTGTGACTTGCCTAGCCCTGTGACTGTGTGACTTGTCTAGCCCTGTGACTGTGTGACTTGCCTAGCCCTGTGACTGTGTGACTTGCCTAGCCCTGTGACTGTGTGACTTGCCTAGCCCTGTGACTGTGTGACTTGCCTAGCCCTGTGACTGTGTGACTTGCCTAGCCCTGTGACTGTGTGACTTGCCTAGCCCTGTGACTGTGTGACTTGTCTAGCCCTGTGACTGTGTGACTTGTCTAGCCCTGTGACTGTGTGACTTGCCTAGCCCTGTGACTGTGTGACTTGTCTAGCCCTGTGACTGTGTGACTTGTCTAGCCCTGTACTCTAGTACACTGTAGTAGTAGTACAGTGTACATGTATTAGTATTAGTATTAGTACACTGTAGTGATGCTCTGCTGTTGTTGATGTGCTATGTTCAGCGCCGTATGACCCACTGGCACACATGTACTCGGGAGTTGTAGCTGAGCCTCCATGCTCGTACAACCGCAATCGGTCAGTCAGTGTTCTGCCTGCCGCCTTCAGTCTTTTCTTCTTCTTCTCTCTTGCTTCATGTCTTGCACATGGCCATGCACATTTTGCGTTGGAGCGGTGTGTTCTTGCAGCTAGGCTCTTTCCTGCAGCCTGGTCGAAGGAGTGTGTGTATGTGGTGGTAGTGGTGGTGGTGGTGGTGGTGGTGGTGGTGGTGGTGGTGGTGTGTGTGTGTGTGTGTGTGTGTGCGTGTGCGTGTGCGTGTGTGTGTGCGTGTGTGTGTGCGTGTACACACGTACACGCATGTCGTGGCGTATGTGGTGGTCGGGTGGGAGTTGCAAGAGTTTGTACTGATGAATTCTATTTCTATTGTAGACTTTGTAGCACATGTATTGTGTTTATGCAGCGGTGCTTCCAAATTGCTTGTAAACTGACTCCACGGGGAGGGGGGGGGGGGGAGGGGAGGGGGGAGGCTTACTTTGTAATTTTTGGCCTGCTGGTCACAACGGTGAATTTCGTTTCCTTCTGGGGTGACAGCAAGTCCTTCAAAACTTCAAACCGAGTTGTCTGAATTGTCCGGGATTACGGCGTGGCGTCACGTTTTACTTGCCCTGAATATGTGTCTTTGTCGTCACAACGAAGCAACTCAGCTAGTGCTGTACAACGCGGCAAGCGGGCATATCGTCCCCTGTACATGTACAATGTATGTAGTGTACCTTACACCGGTCCCTGGGATATCCACTGCACATGTTGCTTTCTATTTTTTTCGGACGTGTTTTTAGATTTTTCATCCAAGACTCAAAGCAATTCCATACCTCATTACTGGGAAGATGCCCTGTGACAGTGTGACAAAGCCTGAAGTATACTGCTTTTGTTTAAAGTTACGGTCGCCCTGTCCCGTCGCTTCTTGAGCTCAAAGTGCTCAGGGAGTGTGAGACGTGCAATGCATCCGAGGATAAATTGAGTGATTATCACCAGAATGAGACTTACTGGAGCATCTCTCCATTTCTCGCGCTCTTTGGAGTGTCGTTTTAGCTGTGGGCAATATTGACTGGTGCATTTTTTTTCTCCATAAAATACCACCAAAGACAGCTTTGGCTGCCAGAAACTTCGAACAAAACTCAACACATGAGATCGCCACTTCGCGTGTTGGCGCGTTGCACGCTTCCACAGATCTACGATGTATGCATGCCGACGACAACACTTTCTTCATTGTGACGACAAAGACACATTTGCTTTTTACACGCACACGGGGGATTGGCGGTGTTGATTGGCAAATCTGTGACGGAAGACATGGCGGTATTCTGTGCCTTTACGTCTTCTTTTTCTCGGTTTTCTCTTCTTCGTGTCCCGTTCAGCTTTCTGATATTCTTTGATGATGGCCTGGCTCGATATGTCCACCAATCCAATGTGCATCCATTGGTTCAGAAGCAGTGTGAGTGAATAATGATTATAATAATGTGCTTTTAAAATCTCGGATGGGGAGCCAAGGATTTAAATTAAAAAGAAATGACCATACGTTTACAAGTTATCCGCAGTTGTCCAACACTGACAGTTATAAGCAAGGCATTGGTGAGGGACAACATGCAACAGTTAGGGGCCGTCCGCAACCCACAATTCTACGGAGTCCACGTCTGTCCACTTGTCTGGCCATGGGTTGGGAAGAGTGATGCTCTCTCCAAGGGCTGGTATAGTGAGCGCCTTGTACTCCTGACCGGGCATATTATCCTTCGGCCACTCTAGATGACCGGAGTACAGGATGCGACCTTCGCGTGTATCATCCCCGCTTGTGGTGGAGCAGCAGACAAACACATTCGGCTTCAGCTTTGGAGTTGAGGCTTCTGGCCGGAAAATGCGGATCTCAAGGTCCCGGCTCGGGTGATACTTGGTGCTGTCAAGTGCGAATCCAATGTTACTTTTGAAGAATGCAACATTGATTTTGGCGCCACCTGAAGCCACCTCTCCCAGGATGAGATTGGCATAATCCACGCTGAAATCGGCCGGGTCGATACCTTTGTTGTCAGTGCCATCAATGATCTCTGTGGGGGTAGCTAGCTCAAACTGGATCTCCTTATCCATCCATGTTCCGGTGATAATGAGGGTCTCGTTGTCCTTGAACGGGTTGAACCTGTTGTAGTCGTCGTACACACCAATAATAGGAACATAAGTTCCAGTTGGAGGCGGCGCTGATCGGTTCTTGTCACACGGTCCCAACACCGACGAGGAAACACATAACGAGGACGACGATTGGGTGGAGGGCCAGTCCAGTGACGGTACGGTGCGTGGCGGGGCATGGTCGGCATAATAAGGCGGTGCGGTGGCAGAACGTCGGCGTCGAAGTATCGGTGTCTCGTCGGGCGTATCGTCGGGCGTATCGTTCGTGGTCGTTGTCGAGGCTGTGGGCGTGGTCGTTGTCGAGGAGGCGGGCGTGGTCGTCGGAGCGGTGGTCGGTAAGTGCGGATATTCAGGCGCTGGCGAATAGCCGTTATCAGTTCCTCTGCCGATGGAGGGCGCGGTTGTATAATAAGGTGGCGACGCGCGGCGTCCAATCGTGCCGGCCTGATTAGTCCGGGCGTCGGTGGTGGAGATGGAAGTACGGGCGTCCGCGGCGACGGCGGCGACGGTGCTTGCATGTTGAGACCGGCACAGTCACAATTAGACGATCGGGTCAAGTATTAGTTGACAACGACAAGGAATCTCAGAGGTTCGTATAGAATAATGTCAGGCAAGCAAGACAAAGACCAAGCAAGGCGAGCAAGACAAGGCTAGACAGGGCTAGAAAGGGGGAGAGCAAATGTTCCAGCAAGAGCTTATCTAATTGTCCCATCTGTCCTCCTGTGCGGGGTAGATCATCAGTGATCTGGTTGCTAATGAAGCTGTTGTTCTGCTCGCTGTAGAATAGTGTGTCGTCTTGCTTCAGATCTGCTACTTTCATGAACCCAACGGCTGCACGAGCGACCTGCGGTGTGGGGTCGTCTTTCGGGATCTCCATTGCGCCGCTTCTTTGTGCCACGCTTACATTTGCGAAGTCCGGCTTCGTGGGATCTTTCTGTTGTACTGCGGCGACCGTGGGTTGCAGGTATGCTTGATTGGGCTCGGGCGTCTCAAAGGCCTGGGCAATTTCCTCTGGGAGCTCGCTGAATGCTGGATCATAGTTGTCGTTTGGCACAACTGAGACATCAGAGGTTGCGGCCTCGATATCCATAGAGAGTAGTCCTGCCCCATCTTTGATCATAGCAGTGAGACTCTCATAACCGTAGTTTTCTGCCACAGGGTGCGGATGGTCAAAGCGCTTCACACCTTTCAGGGACACCTTCTGTCCTGTAGCGCGAACAAATAGAAATGGGAGGACTTGTGTTGCAATGCCGGCCACAGATGAGAAGATATCTGCTAGCGGATCTGAGGACACTGATCCCTGGACATACTTTCTCTTCGCTGGTCGACTGGCCAAGTACAGCTCGTTTGTTTGGATGCGCTCAAGATTCTGGATGGGCGCAACTTGTTGCTGTCTCATAGCCAGCGTTTGGAGGCCGCTGCTGGTGTCATCCTTCAGATGCGGGGTGACCTTTGCGCATGCCATTTGAGTTTGCCATGCTGTGTGCTGCTCCGGTGTATTCTGGCCGGGCAAAGTCACGTCGCCTGTTAGGCCGCTGATGGTCTGCGCTTGTGCTACTTGATATTCATTCAGCGAGCCCTCTGGGAACCCTTGTGTTGAAGTGTGCGTGTTCTCTTCAGCGAACACAACTTGCACGTTGTCGGCGATTTGTACGCGCATCCGGTGCGGGTGAGTATGGCATGTGTTGAGTACCAGAGGGTGTCCACTTTTAGCGAAGTTGTCTGCTTTGTCGTACATGTCGCTGTACTGGTCTTGCCGTAGTAGTGATGTAGCTGTCTGTAGCAGTCCTAGCGTCTCTGCATTACTCTGGCTCTTGACAGCCTGGTTATTGTCGAGCATACGGTGTATAGCATCTGCTAGCTGCCGTCTTGCACGTAAGCGAGCTGGTAGCGCCTGTCGATGAGCTCTCAGGGTGTCAGTGTGTACCGGTCATTAAACTGAAAGCACGTGCGAGCAGACGCAAACCGTAGGCGCGACTCAAATTGTACGAAGACTTGCAGGTGCAATCCTCCAGTTTTTGGCGCTGTTTCCACCCCGCACACAAGATACTTGGGGTTAACCACGGCGCACGCGATGGAGTCTTGAACTCTTCGTTCTCCGAAGATCGGTGTAGCAAGAATTGCGCGGCAATCTTGGGCGTGACGAAGATGTATCGTTGCTGTCCAGTCAGTAGTTCTGGAGGCGGAGGCCCTCCGTACAGCTCTGCCATTATCTCTTGCATCGTTGGAAACCCGCAGCTTGCCAGACCTTCCGCGATGTGATTTGCCGACATCACCTCGTCTTCCATCACGCCGCACATCTTGGTGGCGATGTTCATCCACTTCTCCAGGCTGCACGTGTCCAACAGGTTGTATACGCGATCGGCCCAATCCTTGGTATGGTCTTCCACGATCACGTGCCCAGGGTGAGAACAGCCGGCCACGCGATCGCACAGGGCCAATGCCCGTAGCTTGGGGTAAGAATCCGCCTCGATGAGGTTGAGATCGTGGTCTGTGCAATGGGCCAATTCTTTCCATGCCAGATCGGGGCTAGCAGCCAGGTTGTACACAGACGGTTTAGCACAGGAGGAGTAGAACAATACACCTTTTTCAAGTTGCTTTTGGGTCACGCGAACTTCATTCTCCCTGCGCTCAGGATCCAGTGGCATCAACGCGACTCCAAACGAGGTCTTGGATTTTGGGCCTGTAGTGCTCCACGGAAGATTGTCATACAATCCACCGTAGATCACAGTGTCAGGTTTCGGAGGGCGCTTAATCTTCTCCTTCTTCTCCCTCCGCTTCTCCAAGGTCGCTGCCAGACCTAGGTCTATTGAAAGGGGAACGGGACCTAGCTGTCCTGGACCTCGTACTGGTGCACTTACTGGCGGCACGCGATCTTCCACCACGGTTTGCCACGGGGACGGAGGTAGCTCTTCCTCGCACTCCAGATTGACCACGTCTTCCACTTTCACTGCTTTCAGACTCTGCACGGCCATCGTCCTCCTTCTCCTGGAAACATGCACGGAGAAGCAGTTGACGACCCTTGAACCTGCGCGCGGCCTCGTAGTCACGTACGACTAATCCAACTACAAGACGCAAAACCCAGTCGATTACAGCAGAAAGGTGATTATCGTACCGTCTCACGTTTTCTGGGATAGGTATGCCTTTGTACAGACAATCAGCGGCAATGTCTCTCGCAGTGGCACCAATCTCCTTGCGCTGCTGCTGTGCTACAGTATCCACCTGGCCTGGAACAGGGTTGGCCTCGTAAGTGAAAGCTTCACTGTCAATCTCAACGCCCTGCTCATCACACTCGTTGATGTACTCCAGTGGAAATCACAATGTTTTTTTAGAGACGATATTCGTTCGTATGGGGGGTGGCGCTGTTCGTTGTTTTTGGCGGAAAAAATATCGATCTTCACATACGCTATTTTTATGTACCGTATTTTACCGGTTGTAAGTCGACCCCGGTTATAAGTCGAACCCCGTTTCTGGAGGTCTCAATTCTGCGTTTTAAAGTTTTCACCCAACGAAGCATTACTAACCACTAGTGCACGTATTATCAAGAGTTCATAACCCCCAAGAGTGTGCAACTCCTGATCAGTCTGTGTATGGAAGCCCGCTCGGCGGAATTCCTTCATTGCGTCATTTTTGGTGCAGTGCGATGAGTCACGCCGATGAATTCTTCTAAAATGTACAGTCAAACCAGGATGCTTCCTCAGGGTAAACTGCCTAAACTGCGATTCTGGTCTGAGCCTCAAGAATTACTAGAAGTAAAACAAAGCACACGATCCAAAGACAAAACTACTCAGTATTAATTTTTTCGATGCAATGCCAATGGTGCCTCTTCATCACCTTCTTCTTTCGCCAGTGCAGTCAGTCTCTTCCAGAACAATTTCTTCCCAGGGCCCTCGGCATATTTCCGGTGCTTTCCTCGAAGATGATTTCAAGTGATTGAGGAACTCAGTTGAGAATACGTCGAAGGAGCATTTTTCGGCTGAGTTGCACAGCTATCAGAATGATTGTCCTCGAGGGCAATCCAATATTTTTTAACAGCGTCCTCACTTCTTCCTGTCGCGATATCCATGGATTCTCGGAGAAAGAGTTTGTTTTTGAGAAAGTACGACTTGTAATTGTACATGTACGTCCGAAATGTCTTTAAAAAAAAGCTTCGAAAAGTCTAGGCTGCGTTCGAGTGTCATGTGTCTGCGTGGGGCTCGCCGAGTTTGGCAGCCTCCAATGGATGGCTGTGCCTCCCTGGCTGTCGTGGAGGCTAGGGTGTCCCGTTGAGCCTTGGCCCGTGATTGTGCGGACTATGCTATGCTTCTCTTGCTCTCTGATCACATGTGACGTCATCATTATGGGATTTGTTTTCAATCCTCCACCATGGCAAATTGTGTTTTGTTCGCCCGTAGGCTACAGCCTTGAGTAAGGAGTGGTTCAGGGTATAGTTTCCAGAAATCGCAAAGAACCCAAATTTACCTCGGATGACAAGCTGCGCATGACGTAATGAAGGAATTTCGCCGAGCGCTGGGTCTATGCCCGTTGCACACTCTTGGGGGTTATGAACTCTTGGTATTATGTACGTACCTACCTGTACAAACAAACCGTTCAATACAGTATAAAAAATATCGGTCCACTGCATAAATGTATGCATGTTCGTATTAGGGGAGAGGGGGTCTGGGGAGATATGAACAGATATCGTCTCTAAAAAAACATCGATATTTACGGACGGCCCCTTAGCACAATAATGACTCACCAATATCTTGCTTATAATCGTCAGTGTTGGACAACCGCGGATAACATGTAAACCTATGGTCATTTCTTTTTCTTTTTTAAAAGTAATGTCATCGTGTTTCTTCAGAATTCCCAAACTCCATTGCAGCGTATTTCTTGCACTTGAAAATACCGCCATTCCGGCAACAGGCTCTCAGCTGCACCAAATAGATAACTTTGCCAATATTTGGTGCAGCTGAGAGCCTGTTGCCGGAATGCCCATCGCATGTGAATGCATCGGGCGTCTTGCAGTAATATGATAGAAGAACCTGAGATTGCATTGTATATTCACTTTGCTCTGCACCTTTCTTCTTCTTCTTCTTCTTTTTTTTGTGCCATCAGTTCCAGATGATGATAGTGACACTGCGAGTAAAGTCTTTTTGGAAAGCTACTTCAGGGATATTGTTCGAGGCCTTGTAAGTGCTGAAGTTATTCTTTTTTCTTCTCCCGATGAATCATGCCTTGCTCTTGGAGGGAGGGAGGGGGGGGGGGGGGATTATTCATTTCTGTAGTTGAGGTAGGGTAATAGAGAGGTTAAGATGCACGTTATTTCCGACGTGACGCGCAATTTCACGTCAAATTTGGCGTAAAACTCCAAATTTCGACGTGAGCTGCAGGTCACTCGCGTTGTTTTTCGACGCGCGAGCCTAATAACGCGACCTGAACTTTCACGTCACGTCAGAAATAACGTGCATCTTAACCTCTCTAATATGGAGATGAAAATTGAACAATTCCCCTTTAAAAAATCTCTTGGGCACCATCCTCTCTATTTTCTTTTGTCTCTCTTTCACTTTTGAATAAAATTTCAGAAAAAAACTTTGTGAATGGCTCAAAGATTTACTCAGATGGAGAGCCAAGGTGGCAAGGATGAATGAACTGATTGTCAAGTAGCTGATGATGTCAGTAGACATGAGAGCGTAGCTTGTAGTTCCTGGGTCCCTCTCTTTCCTATGAATAGTGCTCGATTATCAAAGTCTTCTCTTACCGTATTATCTCTAATATAAGCACAGTCTCCAATAATAGCACGTCTCCAATAATAGAACACCTTGGGGCAGCATTCAAAAAATAAAGTGCTCAGTCTCCATTATAAGCACACTGTGTACATTCATTATCTGCACCGGCGAAAAAACCCTGAAATGTGTGTGTCTGACATATAAATTTGGCATGGCAACATGCCTCTGAAATGAGGTTGAAATAATAATGGAACAGTCTCCAATAAAGGAACGTCTCCAATAATAGCACGGGGCGGAGGTACATTGAAAAAATAAAGGACCGTGCTTATATTGAGAGATAATACGGTAAGTATATGCTGACACCACCTCCTCTCTTTGGGTCCCGATCAAGTCTATGCATGGTGTATCCAGGTACTGTAATACATATGTCTGGTACACTGTCGGATAGCCATGTCTCCGTTAACGTTAATATGTCTAAATCGTGAGCATGCATGAGTGCTTCTATTTCGTGTAATTTATTATACAGGCTACATACATTAACCCTTTATGAAACAATTAAATCAGTGGGAAAATGTGGTATTCGATTGACTGCTGCAACTCAAGAACGGTTTATGATGTGTTATGTACAAGCTGTATGCAAATCGGTTTAGATGGACAAAGCTTTCGTATAAAAAAAAGACCAGACCGAATTCAGATCAATAAAAGTTTCCAACGTCAGGAATCCACTCTTCGCCATCAGAATTTTGAGTTCCATCAGAGCTGGCATCCGAAACATCATCGTCGTCAAGAGCATCTTCCTCAGACGACGACAGCAGGTCATCAGAATATTCGCTGGCACTGTCAGAAACTGTCGCCAGGTCTGCAGGAACTTCTGCCGTCAGGAAATGTCCTGGACGACAAGAAGACAGTGGTGCACCATTATGGATAATTTTGTCTCGGGAGAGGTGGCATCTTACACCCTTGTCTCGAAGAGCCCGAAACTTCGGGACTAACTCCTTCCGTCGTCGTTGTTTTCGGGTTGGATCGTGTTGGATGTACACATTATCTCCCTTGTATTGTGCTGTTGTTTTGTGGCGTAGAAGTAAATTCTTCCCATGTGGGGACAACACCACTGGCACGAGACGCACTGGTGAGCCAGATGTTATGTTTTTGTCCCGTAGCCGTGATGACTGGCTGGGGCCAAGCCGGGCTGCAGATTTGACGTCCTTTGGAGCAAATTGCGGGGCGAGGGTGCCAATTATGGCGGACAGGTTCTCTGATGGGAGCTCTTGTAGGCCGCGAAGGATTACGTTGTTTGCTCTGCTCTGCTGTTCACTGGCCTCCGCAACTTGGTCACAAAGTGTATCCTCTGGGAGTTTCCAACGAAATTTGGAATATTGGTGCTGACGGCAGGATGTCGGGCAGTGATATCGGCAAAGGTCTCCTTCATCTCAACAATGGCGGACTTCGCCACTGTTCGTCTTTCCAACATCTTCGTTGCATTTTTCCACTGCAGCCTTCAACCTACGGTTCTCCGCTGACAAGCAAAAAAGCGGTTGATATCTTGGCGCTGCTCGTCTAGCCTCTTTTCCAGGCTTTCCAGTCGCTGTCCCAGGGTCTCTTCGATAATGGTCTTGAACTCTGATCGGAACTGCCCTTGGAACGTCTCGAAGAGGTCCTTGATCTGCCTTACAGCATGTCTATCGCCAGTAACTTTTAACACTCCGGCGCACTGGGCTTGATCTGGTGTGAGGCTGGACTGCGGTTTGCGAGCTGACTTCTCAGCTCCAGCTCGTCGGGTTTGGGACGGATTGTCAGTTTCGCTTGGGGCGAGACTCTCCGTTGGCCTCTCAGCTCTACGCTTGTGAGCGCTTGGGGCCGGGGGAGATGGTTCCCCGGAAACATCACTACTAGATGAACTGCGTGAAGAGCCACCCTTTCCATGGCCAGCTTTGCTGGGGGTGGTTATCTTCCGGACAAACTTTTTCATTGCACACCCTATATTTCATGGTCCTTTATCTGTGTTCAAAAGAGAAATAAAGCCGGGGGGGGGGGGGGGCAACAAGAGAGGACTGTTCTTCAGTCGAAATGGCCCTCGCACTGGCGCAGGGCATGGGTTACCGGAACTGCTTTTCATTGTTCCTGATCCAACTTCTTCTTCTTTATGGTACATGTACATGTATCCCGTTTGATAGCAGCTTTGAACAGTTGATTCCAGCACATGTGCAGTGCTTGGCTGTTCACGTATTTAGCAGACTTGCCAGAAACTATCGTTTTTCATGTTAGCTATGCTCAAACACGTTTGTGCTTCCATTGCCGTTTTCATATTGTTTTCAGAACCTACTTATTGAGTTCCAACCAGGCCAGGAGTTTAAAACTGAGTGGAATGGCGATTGGTAAGTAATTTTAAAAGTCATTGGCTATAGATGTGAGCGCGCACGCGCGCGTGTGTGTGTGTGTGTGTGTGTGTGAGACAGACAGACAGACAGAGAGTGTGTGTGTGCGTGTGTGTGTGTATGTGTATGTGTGTGTGTGTGTCACGTGTGTGTGTGTGTGTGTGTGTGTGTGTGTGTGTGTGTGTGTGTGTGTGTGTGTGTGTGTGTGTGTGTGTGTGTGTGTGTGTGTGTGTGTGTGTGAGAGAGAGAGAGAGAGAGAGAGAGAGAGAGAGAGTGTGTGTGTTGTGTTGTGTGTGTGTGTGTGTGTGTGGGGGGGGGGGTTGTGTGGGTGCACGCACACACATGTGTTAATGCTAATGTCAAAAAATAAAAAAATGAGTTAGAAGAATACTACAGTCATATTCGATCTCTGGCCCTTTTCAAATCCGATTTTGGATCAAGCATAACTGCTTGGTTGACGCCGCCGCGGGAATGCGTATAATAATAATAATATCACTCAAAACCTGGATGAAAATAACTTTGTTATGGTCCACCTTTTGGAGAAATAGACACCGGAAACTTGATTGGAAGAATATTTATATTGGTTGATGCTATAATGTTAATTCCACTTCTAAAACCGTAATTGTTCTTGGTGTTGTTTGGCAGGCTAATGTCAAGGGTGACTAGAATCGACAGTAGTTTGGTTGAGGTAAGCAACTTCATGTTGTCCTTCATCGTTACTTTCCTGTTTTTTTTGTTTTTTTTGCTCTTTTGTGTTTTTGTCTTTGTTTTGTTCTCCCCTCTCTCATTTTGTACGGACACGTGGCACAGTTTGGCACAAGCGAGGTGGGCAAACTCGCCCACTACGCGGACGTGCTTATAATAATAATAATAAGCAACAGCATTGCATCCACTAAGACTTAGCCTTAGTTACCATGCTATGCATGCTGTGTATGGATGTGTGGTTGTGTGGGTGTGGGTGGGTGTCTGTGTGTGTACGTGTGGGTGTACCTACATGTGTGTGTGTGTAGGTGTATGTGTGTCTGTGTACGTGTGTCTGTGTGTGGGTGGGTGTCGAGTGCATTTGCAGATTTGCGTGCTTCTCGTGACAGGCGTATATGGTACATGGTGTGTGTGTGTGTGTGTGTGTGTACGCACGTCAGTGATTGTGTGGGTGGTGCTAGGTGTTTGTGTATGGGTGTGGGGTGGTGTGCTTGGGTGGACGTGTGTGTGGGTGTGGGTGGAAGCATGCTCATGTGTGTGGATACAAGCATATACCAGTGGTTGGGGTTCTATGTTCATAGAAGAGTAGTCACGCCAGTATTACGGTATAGTGTGTGGCTATGTTTCTTCTTGATTTATTCTGCTCTGTTGTGATCCTGGTTTCAGGTCAAATACGTCGTTACCAGTTTGACTGAGGCCCAGCCCAACTTTCCGCGCACGGAGTGGCTCCACCGTGGATCGCCGCGTCTCCAACCTGTCCAAGACGCAAAGGTATTCCTTCACTAGTACCATCACTTCTATGGTGTGCTATGTTTGAAGTGCTTTACTACTACTAAGGTTTATAAAAGCAGTGGTCGTGCTTAGCACGTCGTGTGCTAGTACCAGTGTTGTTTACACTTTCCAGAATGCAAGTTATCTTTCATGAGAAAATTAAAAAAATCTTCAAAAATTCTTTCATCAACATTGTGCGTGACTGGACATTCTGTGCGGAGGTGCTTTAATTAAATCAGGGGATAGTTAACATTTTACTACTCCCTGCTGTAAATACAAACGTATTCGTCAACGAAATATGTGGTACTTTGAACTTGCTGAGCACAGAATGCCCGTACAAAGAGTATGTACCCCCTCCGTGCGAGTGGCACTGGTAATTTCATGTGTCAAGCCAGTGTACGACATATACGAAGTATTGTAAGTCAACAAATGTTCGGCGCATATTTATTTTCGTCTATTTTCGGCCTGGGCATTTTTGGCCGAAATTTTGTTTTGCAAGGTTCAGTGTGACAGTGTATACAGGCGGCAGCAGTACAGGCCGAAATTGTAATGCGGCCGAAATGTGTTATAGTTCCGGGCGGCCGAAATGTGTTATAGTCCCGGGCGGCGGCCGAAATTTGAACGCGCTGAAAATGTGTAGACTAACAGTATAGTGGATTGAGAGAACCTGTACTAGTAGTTTCTGTTCTGTAGCTCTGTCTTGCCTGTCTTGCCTGTCTCGATGTGTGCATTGGAGCCATGCTCCTGCTGGCCAGCTCCACGGGCTATGCATGTTGGGTGTTATCTACTACAGTACTAGTTCTGTTACCTGACACTGAAGTTCCAGTGGGAGCGGAAGCGTATCAGTGTGTTCATGAATGTGCGGCTGTGTATATGCTGTGTGTCATCTCTTTCCATTCGTTCAATTCGATTATTAATCGTATTGCCTCACGGATAGCATTCAGCTTCCAATCTGGACTTCATGGAGAATTTCAAAGTACAGTGAAACCTCGTTTAGAAGAACACTGATAAGACAAACTTTCGCTTTAGAAGAACTAGTGTTCATAACTGTAATGGATAGATTGCTGTGTATTCACTGGGTACAAAATACGGATAAGAAGAACTCCCGTTATTGCAAACAAATACCACCGGTCCCTTGGTGTTCGTCCTAAAGAGGTTTGACTGTATTAGGAAATTAGGCCACCTGCCTCGTACTGCTCTTTTCTCTCAATATTCACCGTTCTAATATAGCTCTTGTCTCCTCGCCGTTGCCTTTTCTGTTGTCTTTCTCAGGACGTGTTAAAGAAGAAGCCATGGCGGAAGTTGGACCCGGTGAAATTTGCCGTCATGTCAGACACGGTGCGCTACTATGCAACGTTCTGCACGGCAAACGGACCACGTTCACTTGGCGACGTATCCCTGGATCGCGGCTCTGCCAGCGGTAATGCCCAGGTGTCCGGCGCGAACTCAGCGCCGCAGCAGCAAAGCAAGCGACGGCCAAGAGTGCCAACAGCTGTGGCTGTCGCCGTTGGTGGGAGCGACTCGTCAGCATCGCCCTCCCCACAGAGCCAGCCACAGTTGAAAAAGCAGGGCTGGCGAAGTCTCGAGCTTAAAGACTACCCGGCCTGGAAGGAGAAACGGGTATTGAGAAGGCAGATGAGAGAAGAGAGACGACGGAAGCAGGGCAAGAAAGGCAAGAAAAACGCTAGTAGCACGGCGGATGATCCTTGCCAAGAAGCCACCACAGCTGGCACAAGGACGGAGTCTCCACCCAACGGTGATGATGTTGAGAGGCGTGCAAATGATAGCCGGATTGCTTCAACTCATGCCGCAATATCCTCCAGTAGTCTTCATGATGAACCCATGATACCGGAGGTTGACGAGGATGACAACAGGACGTCTGCCGCGTACAGAGGCAAGAGTCCTCTGCTTGAACACGGCCATCCTGATCCAGAACACTCTGATCTGAACGCTAATGTTGCCTTTCTCATCACGGAGGACCCAGAGGCGCTCGGTGTCAATCTTTTACCAGATTCGGATAGCTGTCCGGACGTTCCGTTGCCTCGCTGTCCGGGCGTTCCCTTGCCTCGCTGTCCGGACGTTCCCTTGCCTCGCTGTCCGGACGTTCCCTTGCCTCGCGCTTCAGACATCCCCTCCGTTACCGTGCGTCCGGCAACGCCGTGCAGTGCAGACGGGCAACGAGAGCAAGGGCAGCAGAGCCCTGTTAGTGATAGCGACTGTACCATAGCTAGCCGTGATGTTATGGCCGACAAACGTGCCGGCAGCACGGATCAACACCGACGTAGTGCATTCACAGCCGTGGCCAAGCTACGCTCGTCCAGTCGCGGGTGAGTACTGGTGTTGTCCATTTGTTGCTAAAGAGAAGGACCCACGGGCGGGATTCCGACTCAGCACCCCTGTCTTGCCGGGACAGTGCCCTACCGATTAGGCTACCGGGGATCACGCGCATGCGCACACACACACACACCACACACACACACACACACACACACACACACACACACACACACCCTGGGCCCCGTCTTGCTACACGTTGTAGCGTAGCGCTGGCATGCATGAACGGTGGAGTGGTGTGACGCTAGCAGTTCCATTGACGTTGCAGTGTTGGTATGCCTTGTCATGGTCTTGTGCACACACATGGTGCCGCTATGTATCTGGGTGACGATGGTTGATGAGCCCTGCTCGGCAAATTTCAGTCTTGCTTCTATGGGCCAAGTTCAGTTGTGGACCTTGTGTACAGTCGTGCCCTTCATCTATAGCGTTTAGTCCGCTGGTGCTGGCTTAAACAGCTCCGGTGCGAATTTATTTAGCACACGACGAATGAGCAACAGTAGGAATTGAGTGTTGTGCTGTGTCGATAGCATGCATTGTGCAGGACCATGCTTATATGGCTTGCTGTCTTCGTGCACTCGGGTTGTGAGTTCTTTAGTCTTGGGAAGTTGTCGATCCATATGTCGGACTCCATTGCCGACGCTGATACCATGCTTTTAGGCTTTCTAAGGTGCAGTTTCTTGTTCGTTGGGTTCCATTTTGGTTTTCTTGTGTTTGATACTGGTTGTATGCCGTGCGTGCAGGTCTGCTAGCAGTATGGGTGACTCGGATCAGTGTGAGTTGAACTGCTGTAGATTCTGATTTATTGTCCTGGATGACTCTGCCTGCAGCAGCAGCAGCTTGTCACTGGGGTGGTGTCTGTAGGGAATGTGTGTGTGTGTGGGGGTGGGGGGGGGGGGGGGGGCATGTGTGTGTGCATGTGTGTGTGTGCATGTGTGTGTGTGTGCATGTGTGTGTGTGTGGGGGGGGGGGTATGTGTGTGTGTCTGTGTCTGTGTGTGTGTGGGGGGGGGGGGGGTATGTGTGTGTACACATGTGGGTATGGTATTAGATAAACGTCCTCCACCGTGTTACATGCTGTCAAACCAACAACACGTGTGGGTATGTGTTGGGTATTCGCATTGATGGTGATGTAATGGTTTTTTTTTCACCGACAGATTGGGTTTCTGACCCCGAAGACCTTTCTATGGATGAAGAAGAGCTCAACGCTGTGTCTGCTTCGAATGCAAGATCTGCTGTCCCTGCTCCTATTTTCTCCCCTCTTCTCACGTCTTCTGGGCCCTCATCCAGACCTGCCACACCGCCAGTGTCAGATTCCACACGTCTCCCACAACCCGCTACCATCTCTACCATGGTGACTAGCTTCACCAGCTCTACAACCTCCGCCAGTGTGAGTGCTAGTTCCAGTACTAGCTCGATGCAGTCTTCACACGGGGCCTCTGATACTGCATCCCTGCTGCTGGAGAAGTTCAAGCGAAAGTTTCCTGCTTATGCATCGCCATCCGCGCCGGACCCTCATTCCACACAACCAAAGTCCCTAACAGCACAGCAAGAACAGCAGCAGGACTCTCTGGCATCAGCGAGTGCAGGCGCGCGTGCGTCTGTTGATTTGGCGCCAGGGTACTCGCCTGTGGCGAGAGCGGTGGTGCGTGGAGATAGTGTGACGTGCAAGGACTACTCCGGTGTGCTTCTACCCGTCACCGCTATCACAGTGGATGAACAGCGGCTGGCCAAGGACTGCGGTTCACCGGCCTTTCCCGCCGCCACGCCGTCACCTTGCCAGGAGCTGAACATGCGGCGTGACATTGCCACCAGTGGCAGCCCCTCACACAATGTAAGTTTCTGCCCTCTACAAACACTGTACACTGTATATTGTACACACCTGCATTGGCAAGGGCTTGGCAGAGCTAATGGTGCTGCTGCTGCTGCTATCAACCCGCTTATTCACATGTTCAGCACAACAGAGTGGTGTGCAAAGGGCGGCAAAGTGTTCATTAACACATTCACAAGAGAGCACTATGCGCCAAGTTTAGATTGTGCTCACGCAGAATGTCATGCATCTGTTAGTGCGATCATCAGACACCGCCACGGGGAGTAAGTACTGTTGACCATGCCTCTACCTCAAATGATGGATGTGTGAGGTACTGAGGTTACAAGGAATGGGTGCAGATGGTAAGGGCTTCAGCGCCAGAAATGGCAGTTTGGGTTTGAGTTTGCAAGTGAGTGTTTGAATGTTACATGTAGTGGGCGTTGCTTTTTCACTGTGATAGAATATCGTGCTAAAATTTACATTTCCAAATGTTTTCTCGTGATGTAAGTATACAACAAAACCTAAACACCTCAAAGGATCTTACAAAGGTTGTCTTTGTGTACAGGTGGTGTTATCCATTGTTATTTGACTGGAACTGATATCCGTTGGTCCTACAATTCTAGTTGTAGTGGCTCTC